CGCCCCCTGTAGATTGAGCAGGGGGGGGGGTGTCAGACCTTTGCAGAGAGACCACTGCTTCCACACAGAGAGCCAAGGCTCCTTCTCTGCAGCATGCTGGCGGGGGACGGGCTTCTTTAGTCAGAATACAAACCATAAGACTTCGCTCACCTTCACCCACCTGAACTTTCAGTTTGATCAGCTCGATACATTTCGTCTACAATATCTCAGTTGGCTTTCTTTAGGAAGCAGCCGCAGCCTGAGTAGAAAATCCTCTCCGCTGCCAGCATGCTACAGAGGCGGACCCTTGCTGTCTGTGTGGAATCAGTGGTCTCTCTGCAGAGGTCTGACTCGCCCCCCTGTGATTGCAGAGTTATAGTATATACGATATATGTACAGCCGCATTCTCTCATTCTGCACTCTGCACTCTGCACCCCCCCAGCACGGCTGACATCTGATCTCAGCATGTGTAGAGCGGGGCAGAGGCAGAAGAGTCATGTGACCTGGAGATCCAATCACACATGATATGTAGATTCATGCAGCAAAAGTAACTCAGATTACTGACAATATCCCGGCCCTGAGATACACACAGAATACTCGTCGTGACTCTTCTCTCTGCTGCGCCCCTAGGGCACTCTCTGTGTGGAAGCAGTGGTCTCTCTGCAGAGAAGGAGCCTTGCTCTCTGTGAGGAAGCAGTGGTCTCTCTGCAGAGAAGGAGCCTTGCTCTCTGTGTGGAAGCAGTGGTCTCTCTGTAGAGAAGGAGTCTTGCTCTCTGTATGGAAGCAGTGGTCTCTCTGTAGAGGAGGAGCCTTGCTCTCTGTGTGGAAGCAGTGGTCTCTCTGCAGAGAAGGAGCCTTGCTCTCTATGTGTAAGCAGCTGTCTCTCTGCAGAGAAGGAGCCTTGCTCTCTATGTGTAAGCAGCTGTCTCTCTGCAGAGAAGGGGCCTTTGCTGTCTGTGTGTAAGCAGCTGTCTCTCTGCAGAGAAGGGGCCTTTGCTGTCTGTGTGTAAGCAGCTGTCTCTCTGCAGAGAAGGAGCCTTTGCTGTCTGTGTGTAAGCAGCTGTCTCTCTGCAGAGAAGGAGCCTTTGCTGTCTGTGTGTAAGCAGCTGTCTCTCTGCAGAGAAGGAGCCTTGCTCTCTGTGAGGAAGCAGGGGTCTCTCTGCAGAGAAGGAGCCTTGCGCTCAGTGTGGAAGCAGTGGTCTCTCTGTAGAGAAGGAGCCTTGCTCTCTGTGTGGAAGCAGTGGCCTCTCTGTAGAGAAGGAGTCTTGCTCTCTGTGTGGAAGCAG